AGATTGCTGGTGTACAGGCCAGGTGCTCTGGCTCCGACCCAAGAGATGTGGGTGCTCTAGATCTCAGCTGGGGTCTGCGGCCTCTTTCTGGGCCCCTTTGTGGAAGCCTAACAGACTATCTGGGAACCAGACTGTGAGGAACAGGGCCCTTGGCAAGCTTTGTCTGCTTTCTGTGACCTCTGTTCCACCGGCAGTCCTGCTGCCGCCTGCTTTCCCACCACCTTCCCTCTTGAGCCCCAGACCACATTTCTACTTGCCCCCTCAGTGCCACCTCTTTGGGGCCATCTCCAGGCACCTTGTGCTCCACGTGTCCTAAGCCACATCCCTTCTGCCCCGCACCAGGCCTGCTTCTCCTCCAGCACTTGTGACCTCCATGGAAGCTCCATCACCCCCAGAAATGTGTGCCCCATTCTTGGTGCGACCATCCCCTTACCTCCCACGGCCCATTGGTGCATCCCCGTTCCTGGTCCTCCAGTCCCTTTGTCTGCCGCCTGGGGCCTAGACGAGGCCGTAGCTTCCTCATGGCCCTGTCCCCACTTGCCCCTGCAGCCCCTTCTTGAACTGGACAGTGCTCCAACACAGACTTCTGGTCACATGGCACCCTCTCGCTTAAAACCTTCTGTGCCTTAAAAAATGCAAACCAGAGTTCTGCTCTGGGCGGCAGTGCAGCCCTCTCCAGGCGGGGCGCACCCTTCTTGCTTGCTGAGTGCTCCATCGCCCCTGCCTGAGGACCTGCTCCTACTTCCTGGGGTCAGTTCTCAGTCCTCATGTCATGTTCCAGGGAGGCCTTTCCTGGTCCCCAGATCGGACCATGCCCCCTGTGACCCTTCCCATGCACCCTGTGTGCCTCCCGCAGGAGAAGATGCTGGACATCTATTGGCTGCTGCGTGTCTGCCTGCGGACCATTGAGCATGGCGACCGCACGGGTCCTCTCTTTGCCTTCATGCCCGAGTTCTACCTGAGCGTGGCCATCAACAGCTACAGCGCTCTCAAGAATTACTTTGGCCCCGTGCACAGCATGGAGGAGCTCCCAGGTGACAGAGCCATTCATGCTGGGAGGGGGCAGAAAGGGGCCTTCGGTGTGAGCCCTAAGAGCCCTGTTTTGAGCGCTCGTGGCCCAGCAGCACATGTCCGTGTGGGCAGGAGGGAGGCAGCACCTGCTCTGCTCTGCCTGCAGCAGATCAGCTTTTGCTAAAGCCCCATGTGGCGGAGAGCCCTGCCTGATGCCGGCATTGCAGAACCAGCAGCTCCCCCCTGGTGCTGGGAGGGATACAGACAAAACAGATCCCCGCTTTCGCTGCCTTCTTGGTGCTGCTGTGGTCCAGGACCTAACAGGTCTCTTGCTCTACCCCCTTGGCACTGGCCACATGGTGTGCCAGCTGTGCAGCATAGTGATTTGTCTCCGTAGAGTACAGCAAGGGGTGGGGCTATGTTGGGGGCCCCACAGGAGCCTGGGCTTCCTGCAGATCACGGAGTCCAGGCTGGGCTGGGTGGTTTATGTCTGGATCAGAGGTGGAGCTGTGGGTGCCCAGGGTGCTTTGATGCTGAGCCATCAAGTGGGTTTGGGCCTGGTCAGGACTCGTGCCAGGACCCACCCTCCCCGCACAGTGGGTCTGCCTTAGCCTCTCACCACTTGTCAGTGAATGCCATGCCCAAAATCCCCAGATGCCAGCTTGGGCCCAGACTGGCCCTTGGAACCAGTCCTGGAGCCCACTACGCGGGCCCACCCACTCTGCCAAGGGACGCGCCTGCCTGTGCAGCCCCCACTCCCAGTCAGCAGCTCTTACTCCCTACCCTCTAGGCTATGAAGAGACCCTGACCCGCCTGGCTGCCATCCTTGCCAAACACTTTGCTGACACACGCATCGTGGGCACTGGTGAGGTGCCCTACAGAGGGCTTGGGGGAGTGGGGACAGGATGGCACCTCGGGCTGGCTGTTTTCTGCATGAAATGCTGGCCAGATGGGCATGAGGCACGGGGGCCAGGGCTCGTGCTAGGCCCCTGCTGAGGCCTGTTCTGTCCTGGCAGACATCCGTGACTCGCTGATGCAGGCCCTGGCTAGCTACGTTTGCTACCCACACTCCCTCCGGGCTGTGGAGCGGATCCCTGAGGAGCAGTGAGTTGGGGTTCAGGAGTGGGGCATGCTCCCTGCCCTTCACAACACCACGCCCAGCCTTACCCCGTGCCCACCCCCCCTTGCCCTCGTAGGCGCATCGCCATGGTGAGGAGCCTCTTGGCTCCCTATGAGCAGCGGCCCTGGGCCCAGACCAACTGGATCCTGGTGCGGCTCTGGAGGGTAAGCCTGGCTAGAGGGGAGGTGGCTGTGGCTGGCTGGAAGGAAGGGTTGCCCCACCCACTGACCTCCCACTGACCTCATCTCCAGGGCTGCGGGTTTGGGTACCGCTATACACGGCTGCCACACCTGCTGAAAACCAAGCCTGAGGACGCCAATTTGCCCAGCCTCCAAAGTGAGTATCTAGGTCAGGCGGGCAGGTGGCCCTTGCCCACTGCGCTCGGGGTCTCTCAGACCTTTCCACTTCTTCCAGCCCCTCTTTTGGACACATATTGGGCCCCAAACGCCCTGTCTGTTCCCTGGGGTTTCCATTCTCCTGTGTCCTCCCAGCCCAAGGATGTTATGGGGCTGCTCCCCCTGGCTCCCCAGCCCCACATGTGCCCTCTGGGCCTGAAGCTCTGCATGGGTCACAGTACAAAGGGGCGGCACCTTCGCAGGCTGCTGGCCGCTGGTGCAGGGTGAGGACCCTGCTCCCTGACCTCCGTCCTTGTCCCAGCACCATGTCCTTCTGCATCTTTTGCCATCTGCTGCTGCCAGACCTTGGATACCTGAGTCCAGGGGGGCATAGATTTAGGGTTGGCCAGGTTCCCAGAGGATGTCCATGGGGCTTCCTGGAGGAAGGGGCATTTGACTGGGAGCAGAGGCTGTGCTTTCTTCTGGGGCCATAGCCCAGCAAAGCCCTGTGAGCTTGAGGACCTTCCCCCAGGCCCAGCCCAGGGTCTGTCTGCCACATGCTATACTCACCCCACATGGTGTTTGATGGGCAGTGTTTTGGCCTGAAAGGTGTCCCCAGAGTTCAAGTGCTTTGTGCAGAGTCACACAGCAAGTCCTTGCCAGTTGCCTTGGTCCTGCCTCCAGGGTGGAATTGAGTTGTAGACGGAGAGTGGCAGTGGGGCCGGATCCACATCCTACTGCTACAGGGACTATTGATTTGCGTGGGGGTGGGGTGGGGGGAGGTCTGCCTAGCCTGGTTGCGGCTGAGGGCTCTGGTTACTGCTGCCTATCAGCCCAGACTTGGCGCCCACCACCTTGGCCATATGCCAAGGCCAGACCAAGGGCAGCAGAGGACAGTAGAGGGTGGCAGGGCTCAGTGGAGGCTCTTGGGGAAGGTGGCCTTGATAGGAGTGAGGGGGGGGGTCTAGGTCACCCTGTCTAGGTCTAGCCCTCCCTGATGGGCCTGCGACTGAGAACTTGCTGGGGCTGGAGGGCTGCTCTAGGCCTGGGGAGGGGGTTGCTGTGGGGCTGGAAACAACTGCAGCCTGTGGCTTGCTCAGCAGAGGGAAGAGACAGATGTACCCCTACCCCCCAGGCAGTACTGCACCCTGTCCCCCTGCCTTCATGACCTGAGCATTCCGAGAGCCATCTTTCTGTCCTTACACCAATGGCCCAGTGGGTGAGGACAGGCAGACAGGCGGGGCAACTGACTGGAGTCCCCAGTGCTGCCACCTCCCCATGCCCCTGCAGAGCCCTGCCCCTCCACCCTACTGCAGCAGCACATGGCAGACCTGCTGCGCCAGGGCCCTGACGTGGCACCCAGCTTCCTCAACAGTGTCCTCAACCAGCTCAACTGGGCCTTCTCTGAGTTCATCGGCATGATCCAAGAGGTGGGTTGCGGTGGGAGCCTGTGGGCCAGGGTGTTGCAGAGGACAAGGCATGGTCTGCAGTGTAGCCAGGCCACTGACCACTGCCCACCCGCCTGTTGGTGGCTCAGATCCAACAGGCTGCCGAACGCCTGGAGAGGAACTTTGTGGACAGCCGACAGCTCAAGGTATGTGCCACCTGCTTTGACCTCTCGGTCAGCCTGCTGCGTGTCTTGGAGATGACCATCACGCTGGTGCCTGAGATATTCCTGGACTGGGCCCAGCCTACCTCTGAGATGTTGCTGCGGCGTCTTGCACAGGTATGTCCATCTGGGCAAGGAGGGTGGGTGGGGCCCTGGGGACACCCAATGGGAAGCCCACCCAGCCACCAACGGATTCTGGCCCTCACAGCTGCTGAATCAGGTGCTGAACCGGGTAACGGCTGAGAGGAACCTGTTTGACCGTGTGGTCACCCTGCGACTGCCTGGTGAGGACCTGGGTGCCCTGCACTCAACACGCCACAGGCCTTGGTTCCTCTGCCAGGAGCACTGATGCCTGATTCTCCATTCTGCACCGGGACAGCCAGGCTTGGCGTCCCTCGGTGGGGAGGATAATGGGAAGGGTGATGGCATCAGCCCGGCAGGCAAGCAGCCCCCACAGCGGGAGCACGTGGGTAGTAGCTCACCCTTACCCTCCTCCCCGTAGGCCTGGAGAGCGTGGACCACTATCCTATTCTGGTGGCAGTGACAGGCATCCTGGTGAGGCTCATGGTGCATGGCCCAGCCTCAGGGTGAGTGTTAGGAACTGTGGGCTCCTGTGGGAGTTGGGTGTGTCTGATGGGGGGAGGGGGCTGGGCAGGGCCTCCCTGCAGCTGTTTCCTTATCTCTAAAATGGACCCCAGGATCGGGTTTTGAGGCAGAGGGCAGGCGGTGACATCTGAACTCAGGTGTCAGCGGCAGCAGCTCTGAGTAGGAGCAACAGGGCCTCCAGCAGAACAGGGTGCCTCGGCCCACAGTCAGAGCCTCAGGAAGGGGCAGGGGAAACAAGACTGTGGTAGGGCGAGGTGACCTCCCGCAATGTCCAGGACAGCACTGCTGGGATCAAGAGCTGAGCACACACACTGCTACCTGTGTCTGCAAAGGCTCTGGCAACAAGCATGTCCTACCTTTATTAAGAAACTCCATGACAGCGGGACCTGGGACACTCACAGGATCCCCACACAGAGGGGTGCCCAGCCCCCCTTCCCTGCCTCCCTGCAGTGGGACGGCTAAGATCCACATAAAACCAAGGCACTGCCTCAGCCATTAGGCCGAGACTGGTGCCAGCCCTTAAGAGGCTTGTACCCCCGAGGGACAGCGGGATGCAGCTCTGCCCTCCCACCGTGGCCATGCTCAGCAGGCTCTTCACTGCTGAACAGCTGGGGGCGCAGGGCCACAGTGCCCCTTCCTGCTGTCTCATGAGCCCATGGGAGAGACTGTGCCCTCAGAGTGGCCTGTGGATGCTCCTGGCCAAAGGGGGAGCAGGCGAGGACTTCAGGGGTCCCTTGACTGCCTCATGCCTGCCCACCAGTCTCTAAATGGCATTGTGAAGCCAGAAATCTTATAGATTGGATATTGGTACGTGGAGTCCTGTTTCATCAGAGGGCCAGTTTCTTTCTTCCACCCTGGGGGTTGGGGACAGGTCTTCCTTTGGAGCCCTCCCCCTTCCCGTCCCCTTGGGAAGAGGAGGTGGTTATGCTTCAGTTCTTCAGCACCACACCTTGATAACTGCCTCAGCCCCTGAGGGTGGACCTGGACTCTAATGTAGGCGCTCTTCCAGATGGGCCTCAGTTCCAGTCCTCATGGGACATTTGGGTACAAGGAGGTCCCAGGGAAAGGGGGCACAGGCAGGCCTGTTGCCGAGGTGGAGCAGGAGAGAGGTCGGGGTCCCCACCCCTCTACCAATGAGTGGGGCCACTGCGGTGTGTATAGGTGGAGGCCCACACAGGAGGCTGGAGGACCAAGCCCAGTGCTTCACACCAGCATCTGGCAGTACTCTGCGCGGCAGCAGGCAGCAGGGCAAGCAACAGGCAGGCAGGTGGTGGCCCCAGGGGGCCCTGGGCAGCTTAGGTCATCACCAGCCCCTCAGAGCCAGTGGAGCTAGTGGACTCAGAGCCAGCTTTGAGCCTCAGGCCCATCGGGTTGTAGAGATCAAAGTCCTCGGCCACCGCCAGTTGCACACGACCATTGAGGCCCCTCCTGCCTGGCTCCAGAAAGACCACATGCTTGTGGACACTGGCCTTGCGGCTGGGTGCATCGGGTGGCGTGGTGCTGAGCACCGAGGACTGTGCGCTCAGCTCCTGGAGTGGGCTGGGTGCTCGGGACCAGCGGCGGCAGCGGCAGGTGCGGTGGCAGCAGCGGTGGCAGCCGGGACAGGGCGGTACAAACAGGTAGAGCACCACCAGGACCAGGCCCACGGCGCAGCCCAGCAGTGTGGTGTAGCTCGTGTTGAAGGCCTCGGGCTCAGGGTTCAGGAAGTGCACACTCACATTGTACTCGTGCGTCTGGTTGTGATGCAGGCGGGGCCCAGTGGCCAGGCACACAAAGATACCCTGATGCCATGGCTGCACCTGGTGGATGGACAAGCTGCCATCAGCCAGCACTGCAATGCTGCCGTTGCGGGATCCTGGCGCCACCAGCAGCTCCTGCTGTGGGGAGACCCAGGCCACGTGCACTGCGGGGGCACTAGTGTTGCAGTGTAGCCTCAGGGACTGACCCACCTGCACTTCACGCTGCTCTTCAGGTTGCTCTGGGCTTGCCCAAGCCAGCGTCTCCGAGCAGTTCTCGAAGACCCGGCTGTGCTCAAAGAAGCGCACGCGGGACGTGGGTACCTTGAAAGCCAGGCAAATGTACTCGCGCGCAAAGTCGCTCACAGCGCTTAATCCCCGCTGGTGCCAGCGCTGCAGCAGGTGGTAGAGGCGGCAGTTGCAGGGCAACGGGTTGTTGTGCAAGTAAAGGCCGTTCTTGAGAAATGCCGGCAGCGCGGCCAGGTCAGGTACCGGGATGCGTCCCAGACGGTTGGAGGAGAGATCCAGGATACGCAGGTGGATCACGCCCAGACCGTGCAGGTGGTCGAAAGAGAAGGACGTGAGTTCGTTGCAGCCCAGGTAGAGCCGGCGGAGCGCGCCCAGGCCCTGGAAGGCATGCTGGTCCAAGTGCGCCAGGCGGTTATTGAACAGCAGCAGCATCTCGAGCGCCCCCAGGCCGTCAAGGTCGTGGCGGCCAAGCGCCCGCAGCCCGTTCGATGATAAATCGAGCAGCCGCAGGCCACTGGCATTAGTAAAGACTCCGCGACCCAGCGCCTTCAGCTCATTGTGACCTAGGCGCAGGGCACGCAGCCGGGAGAGGGGCGTCAGCCAGCCGGGGTACAGGCGCTGGAGCGCGTTATGACTCAGGTCGAGGTCGGCTGCAGCAGCAGGTAATGAGGCCGGCACGTCCTGCAGCCCCAGCCCTGCGCAGCTCAGCAGATCGGCCGCGCAGACGCATTTCTGGGGGCAGTTATGGGGCGCCAGGGGCAGAAAGACGTCGGAGTCCAGGCTGCCATATCCGACGCGCAGCGTGCACAGCAGTGCGCCCAGTAGCATCAGCCAGGCCATGGCGGTGAAGGAAGGACCCGGGGTGGGACCGGGCAACTCTGCGCAGGGTGCAACTCCGGGACTCGCCCCTTTCTGCTCTGGCTCGATGTTCGTGGCGCTGAATGGCCGATGGCCGGGGGAGGCAGGATGCGGGGGGGGAGGCAGGATGCGGGCTCCGCCCCGCACGGCCAACTGCTCCAGCTCCCGGGTTCCAGGTTGTGAGCTGGGGCCGCCGTCCACTCAGCACTCCCTTCTCGGGCTTCCCCAGCTCTCCGAGTGCTTTCCTGGTCACTCACTCAGCTTCTAAATACTCTCGAGGAGGCGGTTTGTTCAGGGGGCGGAGCCTCGGGTTCCCATTGGCTCCTGCTGGAGGGGGCGGGGCAGCCGCGACCCTGGCGATCAAGGGCCCCAGTGGCCGCCAGGTGGGGTCAGTCTGGCCCCAATGCCCCACCCTTCGCTTGGTAGGCGGCTTTCCGCGGCGCCCATCTCCCTAAACAGTAGCAGGGGAAGCCTGGGAAGCACACCTTTAAGCTGTTTTAAAAGTTAATGTATATTAGGGGGCAGATGACTTTCATTATTTTCTGATGGTGCCTCTGAGCCCTCTTAACCTGGTACCCGGGCTGTGGAGTTCTTACTGGGGTATAGGACTTTGGGGAGGGAGATGTGAGAAGCAGGGATATGGGGTGGGCTGAGGGGGGCAATAATGCATGTGGGCTGGACTGTCACACCACCCCCACCCTTCCAGTAGATATTGCCTCCTGACTACTCTTGTACCCTCTCCCACCTAGGATAGAGAGAGCCACATCAGTGCTCCTGGCTGATCCCTGCTTCCAGCTCCGCTCTATCTGCTACCTTCTGGGGCAGTCCGAGCCTCCTGCTCCTGGCACTGCCCTGCCTGGCCCTGACCAGAAGCGCTTCTCCCTACAGAGCTGTAAGTGCATCAGGGAAGAGGGGTTTGGAGCTGGGCCAGGAGTCTGAAGAGTAAACCTCCAACCTGGGGGTACTCAAGAGGCACTGGGTTCTAGGGCCACATTTGGCCTGACACCTCCTACCATCTCCCAGACACAGATTACATCAGTGTCGAAGAACTGGCCCAGGTGGAACAGATGCTGACACACCTGACCTCTGCGTCCGCCCAGGCAGCGGCTGCCTCCCTGGTGAGTGAGGTCACAGCACATAGGTCCATGTCCACCACGCCTGAATGCACATTGGCACAACTGGGTACACACTACATAGGCATAGTGTATGTCCACCTGCATCCAACCCCAGCCCACCCTACACCCTGCTCCCTGCAGCCCACCAGCGAGGAGGACCTGTGTCCCATCTGCTATGCTCACCCCATCTCTGCTGTGTTCCAGCCCTGTGGCCACAAGTCCTGCAAGTAAGTGGGCCCCATGGGCTCAGGAGGTTGGGTGTGTGGGGGGGGCAGGGGGTACAGGGATACACAGGCCACCTCCAACCCCCTCCTGTTGTAGAGCCTGCATCAACCAGCACCTGATGAACAACAAGGATTGCTTCTTCTGCAAAGCCACCATCGTGTCTGTAGAGGACTGGGAGAAGGCAGCCAACTCAAGTGCCACTTCCTCAGCTGCCTAGGCCTGCTTAGCCCACACAGCAAGAGCCTCGACCCCTGAACCTAGACCCAGGCTGGGCCCTATTTATGAGCTCCCCATGCCCCCTTCCCCTCCCCGCCACATCCAGCCACTTGCCTGTGTGTAACCTCATGCTGGGAGTCCAGCCATGCCCTAATTGTGCCTGAGCTTGACTTTCAGTCAGGGCCACAGTGAGCATTAAATTATTATTCCATACAGCCCTGGCCCGGCCCTTCTTGAGGGAGTAGACTTTGTGGGGTATGCCCAGTAAGGGTCCTGCCAGATAATGTCCACAGGAGAAGGCAGATATCCAACTTCAGGCTCATCCAATCTTCCCCAGACAAATGGCAACAAGTCCAGGGCCTTCTGCTGTGACAGGCCGGTGCTCCCTTTGCCAACTGGGAAATGGGGGCTCAGCCAGCCCCACGGCAGTCCCTCACATGATGATGCGAGGCTCCGGCACAGATTCACCAATGGACTTGTGGGGCAGCACACTGGCCCCGTTGAGGTACAGCTCGTCGTTAACTATGACGTCCTCACCCAGCACGGTCACGTTCTCCATGCGCACCTCGGGGGGGGGGGAGGGGGGCAGGCCTTGTCAGCGAGGCGGGCACATTCCCTGGCCCTCTCCCGACCTGGCCCAGCCCAGAGGCTTACCCACTGGCCCACACGGCAGCGCCAGCCTACAATGCAGGACTCCAGCCAGGAGTGGGAGCGGATGTGGGCGTCTCGCAGCACTGTGCACCGCCGGATGCACACACCGTCCTCCACCACCACACCAGGTCCTAGGCTCACGTTGGGGCCAATGCTGCAGTTCTGACCAATGCGGGCACTTGGGTCCTGAGGACAGTGGGGAAAATATAACTGGGCCATTTGTCTCCCAAGACTGAGGGGATTAACGATGGGCAGGGCAAGGGCCTCACCACTAGTACGTTGCCCACAATGCCAGGGCCTGAGCACAGTTGCTCAGGCTTCTTCTGTCGCAGCGACTGTAGAAAGAGGCACATGCCAGTGAGGAAATCCTTGGGCTGCCCGATGTCCATCCAGAAGCCTGTAGGGAGGGAATGCATCAGGGGGCTCAGCCCAGCCACAGACCGCCCCCACCCTGTGGCCTCCCTGCCTCACCCTGCAGCTCCATGGCATATAGCTGGCCCTCCTTGGCCATGACAGGGAAGACCTCCTTCTCAATGGACGTAGGCTGCAGCTGTGGGAGTTGGTAGCTTGTGAGCAGGGTCGTGGTGGTGGTGGCCTGCCCTACCCCAGCCCCCCAGCAGCTGCTTCTACACACCTGGATGCGCCGCAGCACAGCAGGGCTCAGGATATACATGCCTGCGTTGATCTTGTTGGATACAAACACCTGCGGCTTCTCCACGAACTGGTGAATGCGGCCGGTGTCGGCCTCACACACCACCACACCGTACTTAGAGGGTTCCTCCACTCTGGTCACCTGAGTGAAGGGGGACCTCAGGCCTAGTCCAGTGTTCCTGAACCTTGATATGCATGCTGTCCTAAATCTCAGGGGCTATGCCCCCAAATGCTTAAAGACACACAGCCCTGCACCTAAAACGTAAGGGAGTGTTTCAAGGCTAGAGGGGGGGATGCTTGATGTGTGTGGTGGGGTGGCAGTGGGGGGCGAAGAAAGACCTGGTCCTTACCACAATGGAGCCCTCCTGGCCATGGTGCCGGTGGAACTGCACCATGGCTTGGAGAGGGAAATCGCAGATCACGTCACTGTTGAGGACGAAGAAAGGGTCCGCAGTCTCAGAGAGCAGGTTTCGTGCCAGTGCCAGAGGCCCAGCTGCGGGAGGGGAACAGATCACCATTTTCCTGGGGGTCTGAGCCCCTGGATCCAGGCTCAGCAGGCCCCATCCAGGCTGGGTCTTACCCCTTTCCTAACCCTAAACCCTCCCCAATGGACCTCCTGTCTCTACTCACCTGTCCCCAAAGGCTCCTCTTCATGGGACATGGAGATTCGGATTCCTAGCTAAAAGGGAGAAGGTCCCGTCAGGTTCCTTCCACCAGAGTGGGAGGTTGCGCAGACACCGAGGGAAAAGGTCAACAGTGGACTCAAGCCTCACCCTCTGCTCCTGAGCCTTCATTTCCTTCTCCAGCATCTGAGACATGTAGCTCACTGCCAAAATCACGTGGTCCACGCCGGCCTGTCGGACAGAACAGCGCCGGCCAGTCGGACAGAACAGCGCCGGCCAACAGGCGGACTTAGCCGGAGGCATGGGAGTCCTCCACCCATTAGAGGTCCCTCGTGTTGGCACGTCCGACCACGACCCCGGCCCCGGGCCTTACCGCGGCCAGCGCCTCCACTTGGTGTAGCAAGATGGGCTTATTGCAGAAGTCCACCAGTGGCTTCGGAATGCTGAGTGTCAGCGGCCGCAGGCGCGTCCCATAGCCGCCCACCAAAATCAGTGCCTTCATCGCGCCTGCGGGCGGTCGGCCGGAGACTGAATCCCGGCTCCGAGGTGTCCGCGGCCCGCCTGGCCGACCCCTGCTGCTCACTCCCTCCGCCGGGCTCAGTCCCGCGCCCTTCACCTGCCAGACTGACCAACTCTGGATCTGTCTTGCCCACCCAGTCTACCCTGACGCTTGATCCCGGGCCGCCACAAACCAGGACTCGACACCGGATGGAGGGCAGCGGTCCCGGAACTCACGCCCGCCCAGGTCGGGCGGTGACGTGGAACCGGGCGGGCCAATCGGCGGCCGTGTACGTGGCACGAACGCCGGCGTCGGGGCGCTGGGGCGCGGCTCCGGACGACGTAGCCAATGAGAGACCGAGCGCGCCCCGCTGCTATGGGGACTGCGACGGCACCCGCGGGTCAGCGGGCCATTGGCGGATCCAAAGGCAGAACTGGCGCCAAGGGCGAGGCTGCCTTCCCTCCAGGTGCCTGTAGGTCCCGCCGCTGGAGGAGCGAAGGAGGGTAGGGGCCGGCGGCCTGTCTCCCAGAAGCCGCGGGGTGTTCACAAAGACGCGGACACGCCTGAGTTTCTAGGGACTTTATTGACATACACGACCTTAGACAAGCGGGGCGGGCAGCGCTAGGTGTATAGAAAGGTGAGGCTCGGCTCAAGGCCCGAGCATCCCCTCCCCCGCACGCAGGTTCCCGGGAGCACAACCGCGCCGGGTCGCGGCCGGAGCCACGTGTCGTATCACGGGGCAGGCCTCAGCGGCGTGGACAGGAAAGGGGAGCAAGCAAGCGATCCCCGAAGGTGAGGGCGTCCAGTTCCCGGAGAAGCAAAGGAACCAGGGCCTTCCCAGGGTTCTCATTTTTTTCCTCATTAAAACATTTAAATCTGCACAAACAAAACCAAATTAAACAGCTTTAAAGTTCAAAGCAATCTGCATCTAGGGGGCGTGCACGTGGCCAGGTGTGAGAGTGAGCAGGGGGCTACCAAACTAGCCTAGGCCTTTGGCCCCTTAGGGGAGTCCCCACGCCCACTGCACAGGCCCCAGTGTGAGGGAGGGGTGGGGTCCCTGGCAAACTGCTACACTGGTCCCCTTTCTCTTTAAGCACCACCCGATCCCACCCCCCAGGGGCTGGTGTCACTTGGCCCAGGGAAGCACTATAGAGAGGGGTCACTTGAAGGCCCCAACAGTGATCCCACGTTGCACTTTGGTCCCAAGTTGGGGCTAGGAAGGCAGGGCCTGACAGGGACAGGGCTCTGGCACAGAACAGTGAGAAAGAGTAGTGGCAGAGCGCATATGCAAACACACGCCCACCACCTCACCAGATAACAGGGCTGGGTCTCTTAAGTGTCAAAAGTGCTGAAAAGAGGCCCCGCCCTGGGAGAGAGGCAGCAAATCCCAGGCCCTCTGCTCTTTTTAGTGCCAGGACAACACTGAATATAAGTGGGTACAGCCTCTCTTGCTATGAAGAACGTAAGGAGGCAGCATCTGCCCCCAAAATATGGGAACTCAGGAGGCACAGCACATCCCCAGTCTGGAGAGTTGTTCAACCAGGGGAATTCCGAGTGGCCCCAGACCTTGTCTCAGCCCC